CTTCGGATGAGTCCGTAGAGTCGAGTGGCCCGTACCCAGAGCTTGTTGGCTGCCTCATGTACCTGATGACCTGCACACGACCTGACCTTGCATACCCTCTTAGCATTCTTGCACGCTATGTTGCTCCTGGGAGACACAGACCGGAGCACATGGCTGCAGCGAAGAGGGTGTTGCGCTACTTGTGCAGTACGTCGGGCATGGGGCTTGTGCTTGGAGGGCAGAGTCCAGTGGTCCTTACTGGGCACGCAGACGCTTCTTGGGCTGACGACCAGGCTACGCAGCGGTCGTCACAGGGTTACACCTTCAGCCTTGGTTCCGGCTCTGTTTCGTGGCGGGCTACTCGCTCGTCTTCTGTTCTCGGCTCCAGTTGTGAGGCTGAGATCTACGCAGGAGCCATGGCTGCACAGGAGCTTCGCTGGCTCACCTACCTGCTGACTGACCTCGGAGAGTTGCCTCGTTCTCCTCCAGTGCTGTACGTAGACAACAAGGCCATGCTGGCCTTGTGTCGGGAGCAGCGACTGGAGCACAGAACGAAGCACATTGCTCTCCGCTACTTTCTTGCTCGTGAGCTGCAGCAGCGTGGTCAGCTGCGTCTTGCGTACGTGGCCTCTGAGGCCAACACTGCTGATATCTTCACCAAGGCACTTGCGCCTTGTGACCATCAGCGCTTCTGTACTCAGCTGGGCCTTGTGCCTACCTTGCCTCACTTGCTCACCTCTTGACCTTGCTTGTACTGTTACATATATATATTCCTGCTCTTGTTTGTCTAGCCTTTTTTATATATATGTGTACTCCTGCTTGTGAACTGGCCTTGTGGCCTTGAACTTGTGCTCGGAATGTGTGGTGACTTTGTGATCCACCCTGAGCTTGTTTCTGCTTTGCTTTGCTTGACTGGTCTTGTGACCCCTTGTTCTCCCCCACTTTGCCTATGGGGGTGTGTCAGATTTATATGACATAGCTACTGTAGGCTATAGTGGGGTAGCACATATGGGGTACAGTTTTCTAGGGTTTGCTTCTTGTACCCAACTTTCACTTAGTCATTCCATTCCTCGTTTCTTCTCAGTTAAACAATACAATACAAGCAGGTGTTCTTGACAAAGATTCACTACTCTTACCCGATGGCAGAGAACTTTGACGAATGAGAGGAACTTGCTTCACCTGCCCAGAAGCTGACTTAGCGCATCAACCCTTCGTTTCTCACCACAATCCAAGCGCACCAGCTTACGCACCGCTTGAGAAAGTGTACAGCGACATCCTGTACAACCGCGAACCTGGGCAAGGGGCATACAACTACACCATCACGTTCATCGACGCCACCACTCGTTATGTCTGGCATCTCAACCTGCCAAGCCGCGATATGGCCTTCGAAGCCTTCGTAGCCTGGCTCCCAGTAGCAAAACGGGAATCAGGAGTTAAGCTGAAGAGCTTTCAGTCCGACGGGGGAGGAGAATACACCTCACAAAGGTTCAAGCAGTACTTGGCAGAGAGAGGAATCAAGCGGCTCATCTCCCTTCCCTACGCCCATCAACAGCAGGGCGTGGCAGAAAGAATGAACAGGACCCTTCAGAACACCATGCGCAAGCTGCTACGTGGCATGCGGCTACCCAACCACCAGTGGCCTGAAGCAATGGACCACGCCGTGATGCTGCACAACTTGCTCTCGTCATCATCGCTCCCGAACAACGCATCACCGCATCTGCTTTGGACAGGAAAACTGGGCAGCACAAAAATGTTGCGAAATTTCGGCTGCATGGTACAGTACCAACCCCCAGCTGCACGCGCTGGCCGATTCTCACAACGTGCACAGTGGGGACTACACCTGGGCATTGAAAAGAATTACAACGCGTGGAAGATTTTCGACGTCCACTCAAAAGAAACAGTGGCAGCACGTGATGCCATTTTCTACGAGCGACTCACTCTTCCAACGTACCTGTACAACTTGGAGACATCACGAGATGTCACAGGCGGATTTCGTGGGGACCGAGCCTTCGCCTCGGCAGAAGATGAAGCTGACCTGGACGAACAGACCGTGGACGGAGCCTCGGAAGAAGCCGGACCACTTCCCTACTGCTCGGTAGATGTTCCAATGGACGATGACAACCCTCGCGAAAGCATCAACGCCGAAGTCTTCTACGACTTCGCCGACAACGGTTACGTTACACCCGCCCGAGTCAACACCAACGAAGCCGAACGCATAGGACCCAACTTCTTACCTGATCCAGAAGAAGGTGACGAAGCAGCTTATCCCGAGGATACGACACTTCCCCGCTACACACAGAGCGGACTCCAAATTCTTGGCCTCGTCACCGCAGTCCACGGCACGGAGATTCCTAAGGAGCCTGCCACAGTTCAGCAGGCTCTGGGGGGGGAGCACAGGGAAAAATAGCGCGAAGCCATGGACAAGGAGCTGAAAGCACTGGAAGAGCGAAACACCTGGAAGGTTGTTCCCATCGGCGTGGCACGAAACAAGACAGTACTCACCGGGAAATGGGTCTTCCATGTGAAGACAAAGGCAGACGGCACCATCGACAAGTTTAAAGCGCGCTGGGTCGTACGTGGCTTCGACCAAGAACACGGACGCGACTTCACCGTAACATTTGCGCCGGTCAGCCGACATACCTCGCTGCGAATTCTCCTCGCGATCGCCGCCATGAAGAAGAAAAAACTGCGGCAAATTGATGTCGCCAACGCATTTCTCTACGCACCTGTTGACGCAGAAATCTTCGTTGAACTACCACATGGCTCCAACGGAGAGCCTAACCAAGTCTGTCAGCTGCTGAAGTCGCTCTACGGCATCAAACAAGCTCCGAGGCTGTGGCAACAGTACCTGCACGCAAGACTTATCCGCATAGGATTCCGCCAGCTACCTCACGACCAGGGAATGTACCGGCTTACAAAAGGCACCGACTACATCCTACTAATCGTCTACGTAGACGATCTGCTCTACATCGGGTCGACCGACGGCGTCACCACCTGGTTCGAAGGGGAGCTACAGAAGGATCTCACGCTCACAGTCTCGTCCACCGTCACGCAATACCTCGGGCTCAACATTCAGGAAGAAGAGAACGCAATCTACCTCAACGCCGCAAAATACGCCGACACCATCACCAAACCACTATCTCCACGCCATACCGCTACACGGCAGGAAATAACAAGGAAGGATCTGCTCCACTGAAGCTCGCCGGCATACGCGACTACCAGAGAAAACTGGGATGTCTTCTCTTCTTAACTGTCACCTGCCGACCGGACCTATCGTACTCCGCAAGTCAACTCGCGACCTACCTCAAGAAACCTGAAGCAGAACACATGGCGGAGCTCGACCGCGCTCTTCACTACCTCGTTAGCACTCCGACGATCGGCCTGACCTATCACAAGAACGGGACCTCGACACCTAAATTAATCGGCTACGTCGACGCAGATCACGCCGGCGACTCCGACAACAGGCGCTCGCGCACCGGCTACATCCACCGCCTTGAACCTATCGGGCCCATCTCTTGGCAGTCGAGCAAGCAGGAATTAATCGCCCTCTCCTCAGCTGAAGCAGAATATATCGCACTCTGCTCAGCCACCAAGGAAGGACTGTACCTTCGCAAACTCCTGGAGGAAGCGAAGCTGGCTCAGTTACCCAGCTTCTCCCTGTTCTGCGACAACCAGTCAGCAATTCGCATAGCCAACAAAAATGGATTCGCGAACAGGACGAAGCACATCGCCCTGCGATATTTCTTCGCGAAGGACGAAATCGAGAAGGGGAGACTCGAGCTGTCTTACTGCCCCACATCCGAGATGGCAGCTGACAACTTGACCAAGAAGCTCGGAAAGCAGAAGTTCGAATACTGCATGCTGCTGACTGGACAGAGCCACGTCACCAGCAGCGACACTCCAGAAGCAAAGGGGAGTGTTGGAAACAAGTAATTTAGCGCCTCTGTCGTGTCGAAGCACTAAGTCCTAAACGAAGCGAAACACAAGAGAAGCATCGGCGAGTCAACCCTCGGAGGTTGAGCAACTGCTGGAGGTTACGCGAAAGTCAAAGGTCAGCGACCTTTGACCTAACAAGTACAGCGCGACAGCAAGGACAAACAGCTGACTCGTTATTGAGCAGTTGCCCGAGTCGTCACTGTATCGAACCGCAACAGCAAAACGGTTATTAACCGTATCTCTTCGTATTCCTTGTACTCTTATAAAAAGCTTGTATCTCCTTGTTTTAATTAATCTACTTTGCCCTCACATTCCAGCGCAAGGTGGTTCACAGACTTATCATTACAAACCCTTCCGCTATTACACTGTTCTTACCCAGAGTTTAGTCCTGCAAAGATCCTAAGGGCTTTTCTCAGCCCAACAACACACAGGGGGACCCTGATGGGTTGACGACCCTAAAAGTGAATATGAGGGCCTGCCTCCGGCCATTCTTGCGCGCGAGCGTGTGCCGGACGCCACTTTCCGTTCGTCGAAGATTTCGGAGATGGCAGTGCGAAGGATCCCTGAGTCGCTCTCATACCATTTTGCGATCAGATGTTGATCGTTGCCAGGATCACCTCAGCAAGGTTCGCACACTACTGATTTTGTGGTGGTGGGCCCTTGACCTCAATAGCAGAGTGAATGTAAATGCTTGAGATGATTAAAACATGCAAGTACAAGGAATATAAATAAGAGTACAGGGGAATTCGAATCGACCTAGCTAACCATGTACTCTAAGGGGTACATTCCTTTATTACAGCGAAATCCAACCGTGCGACTCCGGGTGGTTACGAAACCGTTCGGGCAGAATCCTCGCCACTGCTGCTGCCTGATGTTGGCTGCCCGACGGTCCAGATGCTTTCGTAACGGTGCGACCTTTAATACTGCTTCCGCCCTTTCGACTTCAACCTCGGTAGTGCGTGCTTCGCTTGCTGCGGTGAGGAGTGCACAGTGATGTTTAAACAATCACTATTCGCAACAGGCTTGACACAAATCTTTGCTTTTAAGTCACACGAAGAGATGCCATGCCCCATCACCAGGCCGCGCTAATCATTGCGAACGAGCAGGCGATTCAAGCGAGCAACCTCCTTGACAATGTCATCGTGGTACTCTGCCATGGCAGCATCATACTCCCCATACTCCACCGCCCTGCCCTGCTCGCCCCCACCAGAGGCGCCCTGCCCCGGCAGCACGTGGCGGTGCTGTGCGCGCGTCACAGTGGGCCACTCCCCACGACCGCCTTCCCCCATGCGCAGCTGTAGACGCGCCACCTGTAGGTGGGGGGGAGAGAGCGGGGGAAGAGCATGTGGGGGGATAGGCAGGATCGGGAAGACGCAGGGAACTGGCTAGGAGCACGGGGCATGCTGGTGAACTGCCAAAATATGTTGGTTCTACCACCCACCTGCCAGCCCACCACCCACCTGACAGCCCACCACCCACCTGACAGCCCACCACCCACCTGGTACCCCCATAGCCACGTGCGTGAGCAGAGGTGCCAGTCACTCATGACGGCCGCCCGTCCCTGCCGCATGTCCGCCTCGTCCAGCCACCCCATGTCCTCCAGCACAGAGCGCCGCAGCACCAGAGGGAATGCGGTTACCAGCCCTGTGAAGTGCATCGCCACCCCCGTCTCAGGGTCCCTCCACCCCACCTCCCCTCCCTCCGCTCCCCCTCTTCCCTCCATCTCCTCCGCAAGCCCCCTCCAGAACCGCACGCTGGCAGCTGCGCGTGCCGCCTGAGGCGCCTCGTCCCCCTCCACGCGCTCCTGTGCGCGGCCAGCCTCCCCCAGGGCGTCGGTGCGGAAGCCCGCCACTGCCAGGCGCGGCCACGCGGCGAACGCGGCCAGCACTCTGTCCAGCCAGAGGCACGAGGCGGGCGGCAGCGCGTCCCCATCCAGCATCATCAACAGCCCCCCCCGCGCCATCCTCGCCAGGTCGTTGAACATGAGCGGCGCAGCACCCAAGCGTGGCAGCACGGCCACCACGAAGATTCCCGCCGCCGTGTCGTTCCTCGCCTGCATCCACGCCTCTAGTGTCGCATCCGGGTTCATCACACTCACCACCATCTCCGCTCGGATGCCCGGCAGTGAACCCGTCCCCGCCATGCCGTGTGTGCACGCGTACAGGCGGGATACCAGCGCCTGCACGCGCTCTGCTCGCCCGCCGTACGTCACGATGAAGGACACGTTGGGGCGCGTGTCAGGATAGTGCTCCGGTAGCTTCTGCCACACGTGCTTCGGGGCGACTAGCCCCGGTTGGGTTTCGTACTCGGGGTAAATAGCCTCCCAGTCGGTGCACTGGTCGGTGCAGCCAGACACATTGGCCACGGCAGCGTATCGCTCCAGCAGCGCGCTCTGCTCCTCCGTCCAGTTGCTGTGGGGCAGCCGCAGCCCGCACTCCTCCCATAGCTGCTCTTGTGTGGCTTTCAGGGCGGATTCTGCTGACGTGGCGGCTGATGTGGCGGCTGCCAGCACAGCACGCTGCTCCTCCACGTGGGCGACGGCCTTGGGGTGGTCGGGCCCCTCGGAGTCGAACCAGGCGTGGAAGGGCAGATACCAGAAGAGGAACTCCGATAGCTTGTTCTTCTCTGGTCAGAGGCGTGGTGGATGGGCAGGGTGGGGAGGGATGGGAGAGTGAAGCTGCGGGGGATCACCGGAGGGAAGGAAGGCAGGTTGCAGAGGGCGGATACAAGCAGGCTGGTTGTGTCTGGTGGGGAGAGAGTAGTTTGTTGTGGGGTCGGGGAGGCGTGAGGGAGGTGAGAGAGAAAATGCGAGAGAAACTAGAATCGACGACAGGATCCGGGGAAAGGAAAGGAGCAGCCACGCCGTGAGCGGCGCTCACCCCAGTGCTCTTTGTTGTCACTTGGCCTCTCCCCGTGGTGACCTCACTCACACGTCCATTCTCCTTCCAACGCACCCAGCCCGGATGCACCCAGCCGGGATGCACCAGTATAGCCGTGCAGGGATGTGTGAGTGAGGGATACGCTGCATCACCAAAGCATGGAACACCTTCACACAAGTGTACATTCCATTCCACCTGGCGTCTCACACGCACCTGCCCCGTCCGGCATGGTGTTGAGCTTTTCACTGGCCTCGTCGCCCGTGAGGTTGAGCGCCACCCACCACTCGCGCCGGTCGTCCAGCGCTCTCAGCTGCCCCAGCATGAACTGCCTCAGCTCCGCCTCCCTGTCCGCCTGCTGCTGCTTCTGCGTGGCTGGATGGCACACAGAGGGGGGTTGGGGGAGGTAGTGAGTGGGGAGAGGGAGAGAGGGAGCAGGGGGGAAAAGAGAGCTTTAGCCACTGTCTTGGTCGTCCAGCGATCTCAGCTGCCCCAGCATGACCTGTCTCGCCTCCACCTCCCAGTCCGCCTGCTGCTGCCTCTGTGTCACTCAACTGATTGGGGTGTAGGGTTTGGGGGAGGCAGCGAGTGGGGAGAGGAGGAGGGGGAAGGGGAGGGGGATAGAGGTTGTGGATGACCATGTGCATGGCACTCCCTATCATCGCAATGTGCATGGCACTCCCTATCATCGCAATGTGCATGGCACTCCCTATCATCGCAATGTGCATGGCACTCCCTATCATCGCAATGTGCATGGCACTCCCTATCATCGCAATGTGCATGGCACTCCCTATCATCGCAATGTGCACACTGCAACCATCCACTCCTGTAAACCCGCCCACCGCCATGCCACTTCCCCACCAGCCCTGGCACCCTATCCCCTCCCCACGCGTGCTCTGTCACTCCCCCTCCCAGCCAACGTGCCCTACCGGCCGCCCTCCTGGCCACGCACCAATATGGAATCGTGTCTGCAGCCCCTCCGCCACGAAATACAGGTCCATGCACTCCCCTACAGCCTCCTCCACTGCCTCCTCCCATGCTGCTTCCCCCACTGTCCCCCTCACTGGCACCCCCACTGCTGCTCCCCCCACCGCCCCCTCTACTCGCCCCTCTACACCTGTGCTTGCTGCCGCTCCCACCGTGCCCTCTCCCTCCACCCCACCCTCCACGTCCACATCTCCCACACTGACACGTGACGCAGCTGCCAGCATGGCGTGGATCTGCGCCAGGCCGTCGTCGCCAGCTGGCAGCGCGGCAATGGTGGAAGCAGCCGCCTCGTCCAGCAGGGGGAAGGTGTCCGCCAGCGAGGTGCGGTCCACCTGCAGCTGCTGCTCTCCGTGGAACGATGTCGAGTGTGGGGTGGGGGTGAGGGTGGGGGTAGGGGTGGGGGTAGGGGTGGGGGTGGGGGTGGGGGTGGGGGTGGGGGTGGGTTTGGGTTGGGGGTGGGAAGTTGTTGCGTTTGAGGCGCCGAAGAAGCCGCGTCGTCCAGCAAGGGGGGGCTGTCCGCCAGGCATGTGCGCTCCACACGCAGGTGCTGCTCTCCGTGGTGGGTCGTGAGGGATGGGATGGGGAGGGGATTGGGAAAGAGTTAAGGTTGGGAAAGTGTGAGGAGGGTGTAGGGGAGAGAACAAGGGGTGGAGTGGGCACAAGGGGTCCGAATTAGGGTAGTTATTGGGCAAAGACAAACGGTGGTGATGCAGGTGGGAGGGGAAGGAGGGTGGCAGCGAGCATACGGACGAGACTGTCCGTCACCACCCCCTCGCCTTCCCTTCCACTTATCCCCTCGCCTCCCCTTCTCCTTATCTCGCAGCTCCTCTCTCCCTCTATCCCCCGCCTCCTCCCCTCTCTGCACCACGCTCAGTCCTACACAGTGGCTGAACTTTTGAGTCCACGCACCGTGGCTGAAAGTATGACTTCCTATAACTGACCACCTCTACTACATTATCTCCCCCCTCCACGTACACACCCTCCCCCCCCCTCCCCCCCCTTGCACGCTCACCCGCACGGCGGCCCTGACAGCAGCGTGCAGTCGCTGCTCGTCCCGCTCTGCCTGCACCCGCGCCTCCTCCACTCGCTGCTGCATGCGCCGCCTGTGCGCCGCTAGCAGCGCCACCACAGGGGAACTGGGGGAACGTGGCACGCGGGACGGGATTGGAGGGAAAGGGGGAAGCGCGGAGAAGGGGTGGGGGGAAGGTAGGAATGGAATCAGATACGGCGGCCTCGTGGTGGGCGCTTGCAGTGGCAGGGACGATGGGGTGGGACAGTGGGGATGCGGGGGCAGGGGTCGAGGTGAGCGCGAGGGGACATGGCGGAGAGAAACGCATGCATTCCACCAACGCATGCACTCCACCAACGCATGCACTCCACCAACGCATGCACTCCATGTTAGGGTTGGTTCGCCCAACCACGGAACCTATGGCGAAAGTCTCTACGACGGCGGAATGACGGCGAAATGGAAGCGCGTGGATGATTCTAGGTGAAACGGTGGAAATCAGCCTACGGCGTGAGAAGCGGGAGAGAAATCGAGAAGGAACCAAAGAAATGGAGGAAGAGAGAAGGAGAAGCATCGAGGATGAGATCGACGGGGGAAATTGTGGTCTGAGACCAGGGCGCGTTCGAGAAGGTTCCAGATTCGGTCTTGAGGAGTGTTCACCGAATTCGGTTCGGTTCCGTGTGCGACTCGGGGTGAAACGAGGCGCACGCGGTTACTTGGGAAACAAGTGAAGTTACGAATCGCATTTTGTGACTTGCTTGACTATAAAACTGCTTGTACTCATTCTGGAAAACATAACTTGGATATTCTGAAAATTGCTGAAGTGTGTATTGACAACTTCAAGCAGAGCTGCGCATATCATTGGAATCGGGTGATCGTGGAGAACACGATAAGCAATAGCAAGTAGACTATTGCCGACTAAGGCGTTTACGATCCTAAGAACTGGTATCAGAGCTTGGCGAACGGTCGCGTCGATCGCGGTGAATTCACTTGGTGCGCTAAGTGAAATTAGTGGAGAAGAGGAGTCGTTCACGCCTACGCCATGGGAGACGAGGCGAGTTCGGGTTCCAGTGTGAGTCTTGGAGACCCGCAGTTGAAGGCTCTTCTCGAGGCCCTTGCGAGTGGCCGATTGGTGGCGAAACCGACGATCGGGCTCAGTGAAGCCCAGCGCTTCAACGGGAGCAACTACAACGTGTGGCGGAAGAAGTTCATTCGAAGGGCAGAGGAGGTGGACCTCTTGCCGTACTACCGTCCCGACGAGGAGACGATGGAGGGAGTTGCGCCATCCCCGACGGATACGAAGGAGAAAATAGCGGCGTTCAAAAAAAAAGTAAGCAAGCGTTCTTTCAGCTTTGTCACTCAGTTGCCGATGGAATCGCAGTGGATTTGGACCAGTTTGCAGGGGAGCTGAACTCTGCACAGCGAGCGTGGGAGTGCCTGGAGTCCACGTACATGGGTACGAACGATGTAAACAAGAAGGCGATCAGGAAGCAACTGCTGATGCTGAGCATGGAGAAAGGCGAGAAAATCATCACCTACATCAACAGGGCGAAAAGCTACAACGACGATTTGCGGGTGATGGGAGCCGCGGAGACGGAGCATGAGATGATTGACTATATCATCCAAGGCCTTCCTAAGGAGTGGGAATCCGACATCGGTATGTTTACGTACCAACCGCCGGAGAGTTTGATGAAGCTGCAAGAGATTCTGCAATCGCTTGAGACGGTGAAGGAGATGAGGAAAAAGAAAGCGGCAGCAGCAGCTACGGATTTCGACGAGGAAAGGCCGGCTTTGGTGAATGCCACGAAGGCGTTTGGAGCGTGCTACCAGTGTGGAAAGAGGGGGCATAAGGCGATAAACTGCTACGAAAATCCGCGAAGCAGAAACTACAAGGGCAAAGCGGTGGAGAACGATAAAGGAGAAAATGAGGGAGCGGAGTGGCAGCATAAACGAGTTTTTGGCGGCAAGTGCGATTATTGTGGGCGCTATGGGCATCGTGCCGCAGAGTGCTACTCCAATCCGAACAGCAGGAGCTACAAGGGTCCGTCGCAGCAGAGGAATGTGGCGGCTAAGGCGAATGTAGCAGAAGCGAACGAGGATGATATGATCCTTGGAGGAGCGCAACGTGCGAACGTGGTGCGTTTACCAAAGGAGGTTCGGCAGACGGACGATCATGAGAAGACGGCATGGTTCATGGACAGCGGATGCACGCGTCACATGACATTCAGGTCAGATTGGATGGAGAACGTGAGGGAGTCGAGTGAGCGTTATATACTGCAAGGTAACAGTGGGAAGTTCCCAGTGACAGGAGAGGGTGACGTGGTGCTGCAAAGTCCGTATGGAGAGGTGAAACTGGAGAATGTGCTCTTGGTTGAGGATTTGAAGGTGAACTTGGTCAGTCAGTCACAGCTTGATGACTTGGGTTGCAAGATATTTTATGACAGTGGCGAGGTTACAGTGTTTGGTCCTGAGTGGGAGAAGTATGCTGATGGTTACTTCAGTGATGGGTTCTATGAGATGAACTTGGTCGCGACGAACGATAAGGATGAGATTTATGAGGATCCTGAGTCTACTGAGGATGATGAGAGTGAGGACTCGGATGATATGGCTGCGAGTGTGGAGGCAGCAGTGAAGCAGGAAGAGGAGATAGTGACCATGGAGGCAGCAGCAGTAAACGGTGGAGATGGAGACGATGTCAACACTTTTGCAGCAGCGATCGTGGTTGAAGATGAAGCAGTAAATGCGAAGTGTGTGGGAGTTGAAGCTGTGAAAGGGGACATCATGGTGAAAGGATCAAAGGCGAATGCAACTGCAAAGGGGCAAGTGCTTAAGGAGGATGAACGCGTTGAAGGGTACGAGACCCGAGAGGTGTTGGGTGTAAAGATGCCGAGGAGAAGTGAGAGGCTTAAGAAAATCTCTCAAGGTTTGGATGTCAAGGCGCTCAACTTCAAGACACGTAAGCAGAGGTTCAAGGTGCAGGAGCTGCAGGGGAGTGTGAAGCCGACCTAGACCCTGTGAAGGCTACAAGGAGCAGGGGAGGAGTGCGAGTGGAGTTCGTGGTTGACGAACCACAGGGGAGATTGTTAGGGTTGGTTCGCCCAACCACGGAACCTATGGCGAAAGTCTCTACGACGGCGGAATGACGGCGAAATGGAAGCGCGTGGATGATTCTAGGTGAAACGGTGGAAATCAGCCTACGGCGTGAGAAGCGGGAGAGAAATCGAGAAGGAACCAAAGAAATGGAGGAAGAGAGAAGGAGAAGCATCGAGGATGAGATCGACGGGGGAAATTGTGGTCTGAGACCAAGGCGCGTTCGAGAAGGTTCCAGATTCGGTCTTGAGGAGTGTTCACCGAATTCGGTTCGGTTCCGTGTGCGACTCGGGGTGAAACGAGGCGCACGCGGTTACTTGGGAAACAAGTGAAGTTACGAATCGCATTTTGTGACTTGCTTGACTATAAAACTGCTTGTACTCATTCTGGAAAACATAACTTGGAGATTCTGAAAATTGCTGAAGTGTGTATTGACAACTTCAAGCAGAGCTGCGCATATCATTGGAATCGGGTGATCGTGGAGAACACGATAAGCAATAGCAAGTAGACTATTGCCGACTAAGGCGTTTACGATCCTAAGACTCCACCAACGCATGCACTCCACCAACGCATGCACTCCACCAACGCATGCACTCCACCAACGCATGCACTCCACCAACGCATGCACTCCACCAACGCATGCACTCCACCAACGCATGCACTCCACCAACGCATGCACTCCACCAACGGTTTACTCTTGGGTGACTCAGTGCTGACTCACCAGCATGAGAGGGTGGAATGGGGCGAGACTAGGGGGGGTTGGGGGGGGAGCATAGTGCAAGCAGCAGCAAGAGAGGCAGCTCAACACAGGTGTGCGGACGCCGTCACGGATGTGCACGTGTCGAGACGGAGTCCCGCCCACGGCCCACCTGCCATCCGGTGCCCACCTGCCATCCGGTGCCCACCTGCCATCCGGTGCCCACCTGCCATCCGGTGCCCACCTGCCATCCAGTGCAGGGTACAGCGTAGCATCCTCCTCGCCCTTGCCCAGCCCTGCCTCCCTTCCGCGCCCCGCCTCTGCTGCCAGCGCAAAAAGGTCCGGCCCCCCTAATCCCTCCTGCCCCGTTTCCCCCTCCCCCCACTCCGCGTCATCAAACAGTCGCGCGCTTAGCTCCGCCTCCCCTTCGTTCCCCGCATCCTCACCCCCACTCCCCCCGCCATACCCGCCCGCGGAAACGAAGGCGGAGAGGAGGGAGGCGGAGGGGGCGGAGACGGCGGCGTAGAGGCAGGCGAGTGCGAGGGCGGCGGAGAGCCCCGCGAGGGTGCGCAGCCAGGGGGACGCGGGGAAGTGCATGGCGGAGGAAGCGCGCACCTACGGGGAAGCGAATGCGGACATTGCGGGGAGCTCGCAGGGAGGGGATTGCCGCGGAGAGCGCACGACGAGGGGGGGGGGGGGGGGCGGGAGCCGCACGGCGGGGATAAAGCGCGAGTGGAAAATGAGACGGGCGGGGCCACGGCGGAGACGAGGGCGCCAAGTGCGGGTGGTGGCGGGAAAACGCTGTTCCGTTGTTCCGTGTCGGACGAGGAGAAAATCAACAGCTGGCTTTCGTGCTGGCGTCGTGCTGACTGCTACGAGAAGATTCTATGTGCGTCGAGAAAAAGCAAAAACAACTGAAGGTTGGGCATCGATCCACATACCTCTCGCATGCTAAGCGAGCGCTCTACCATCTGAGCTACATCACCACGTCGGAAATATAACATTAAATGTTTATATCTGTTTTTTATCTTGACAATCTAGATCACCAAAATCCACCTCCAGCGACAATAACGGCCGAGCTGCTCTGTGCGACCACCGCCATCCGCGCCGTTCCCATGCGCGTCCTCGCATCGCCGCTGCTGCGCGTCGCCTCCCTCTCTTTCGCCACCGCCACACGCGCTCAAACCCACTGCCACGTCAGCAGCACTCCCTTCAACCTCCTTGCAACCCTTGCGTGCCCCCCCGCGCGCCACTCAGCGAACGGATTCCCCGCCGCATTCCCCGCCGGGTTCCGCGGCAAGTCCGTGCTGGCGTCGTCGGCCTCTCCGCCGTCACCTCCTGCCGAGGAGTCTGCGGCGCGCAAGCGAGCCAAGATGGCGGCAGCGGGAGACGCGGCGGCAGATGCGGCGGTGAGCGTGGGGAACGGCGAGCAGGCGGGAGCCCCGCGGAAGCGCATCGGGACGCACAACGGCACGTTCCACTGCGACGAGGCGATGGGGTGCTTCCTGCTGCGCCGCACTCTCAAGTTCCGCGACGCCGATGTGATCCGCACCAGGGACGAAAAGGTGCGCGCTTCGGCGTGCAGCAGGGCTAGAATTCAGATTTCACGGTTTTGGGTTTTGGACAAGCGCAGTGTCACAGAGAGGAGGGGCGGGGTGAGGGTCGCACAAGCCCAGATCAATCTGCCTTAAATTCCTCGCACGCATGATGGGGCGGGACTCAAAGAGCCAAACACAAGCTGGTCGCCTCCCGTCCCACCGTCCTTTGCTTCCCTCCTCAATGCCCCATGTCTTGGACCTTTGGGCCATACAGGAGGTTATTCACACGCTGCGGTGCCCTTTTCATCCCTTCGTGTACTGTACGCCTGCAAACATCACAATCTTCCCCTTCCCCTTTCCCCATCCCCTCCCCTCCCCGTTCCCCCCATGGTGCGGTGGCAGGTGCGGGCGGAGGTGTGTGCAGTGACGGGCGCGGCCCCATGGGCACTTCCGCCAGCACCTGCCACTGCGCGGTGATGGGCGTGGGCGGGGGGGACGACTTTGCAACGCGCCGCTTCCACCACCACCAACGTTACCCCCTCCCCTCCCCGCACGCACCCCCCTTCTCCTTCCCTCATGCCCTCCCCTCCCCCTTTACCTCCTTGGTGCCGGGGGGCCCACAGGTGTTGGCGGAGCTGGACGCGGTGATCGATGTGGGGGGGGCGTACGACCCCTCAACGGACCGCTTCCCCCTCTTCCCCCCTTTCCCCACCTTCCCCTCTTTCCCCCCTTTCCCCACCTCTCCCCCCTTTCCCCACCTTCCCCTGTTTCCCCCCCCCTTCCCCACCTTCCCCTGTTTCCCCCCCTTCCCCACCCACCTTCCCCCCCTTCTCCCCCTTCCCCACCTTCCCTCCCGTCCCCCCCTTCCTCACCTTCCCCCCGTGGTGCGCTTCTCCAGGTGCTAGCGGAGTTGGACGCGGTGATCGATGTGGGAGGGGTGTACGACCCAGCCACGGACCGCTACGACCACCACCAGCGCGGCTTCTCCGAGGTGTTGGGCCACGGCTTCTCCACCAAGCTCAGCAGCGCTGGCCTCGTGTACAAGGTGGGGGGTGGGGGGGGTGAGGGAAGAGGGGCTTGTGTGCTACGGGGAAGGGTAGGGGGCTGACTCTTCGTCTCCACCAAGCTCAGCAGCGCGGGCCTCGTGTACAAGGTGGGGGGTGGGGGGGGGGGAAGACGGGGAGATTTGTGTGAATGATTTGAGGTGGGCGTGGTGAGGGGTTGGGAATTGAGGGTGCAGGGTTGGTGGGTGTTGGGCCATAGCTTCCGCACCAGGCTCAGCAGCGCGGGACCCGTGTACAAGGTGGGGAGGGCAGCAGAAGGGGCAAGGGGCTTGCGGGGGGAAGGGTTCGAGAGGGCGAGTGGCTCAAGGTGCCACGTGCAGGGCTTGTGGGCGGAGGGAACGCGGGGAGTTGCTTGCTGCATCACCACTCTCCCCATCTGCTTGCGTGCTTGCTTGGCAAGCAGCGCAACGGAGAGGAGCTGCAAGGAGAGGTGGCGCATCAGTGGTGCTCGCCTCACCACCATCAGTGGTGCTCGCCTCACCACCATCAGTGGTGCTCGCCTCACCACCATCAGTGGTGCTCGCCTCACCACCATCAGTGGTGCTCGCCTCACCACCATCAGTGGTGCTCGCCTCACCACCATCCTCTCGCCCTCGCCCCCTCTCCCCCTGTCCTTCCCCGCCCGTCCCTCCCATCCTTGCGCTCCTCCCTGCCCCTCCGCTGCCCTGACTTGCCCCCCCCCCTGTGGGTGGAGCAGCACTACGGGGAGGAGGTGGTGGCGGGGCTCATGGGGCTGCCTCACACCCACGCGGACGTGCACAAGGTGTACCTCGCTGTCTACCGCTCCTTCATGGAGGTACGTCATGCAATGCGATGTGGGGCTGCTTGTAACGAGGACATGCGCCTTGCTGCAGTGCGCGTGTTCTTGGTGAGGTGGATGCGTGCGTGTGGTGGCTGGGGCCACTCCATCTCTTTTACCTCCTCACCGCACTCCATCTCTTTTACCTCCTTACCGCACTCCATCTCTTTTACCTCCTCACCGCACTCCATCTCTTTTACCTCCTCACCGCACTCCATCTCTTTTACCTCCTCACCGCACTCCATCTCTTTTACCTCCTCACCGCACTCCATCTCTTTTACCTCCTCACCGCACTCCATCTCTTTTACCTCCTCACTGCACTCCATCTCTTGCACGCCTTGAGCCCCCTTTTACTCTCCTCTCCACCGTGACCACCTTTCTCTTGTCGTCTCAAAATCTCTTTCCACCTCCTATCTCGCCTTCCCCCTCCCGCCTGCCACCTCTCGCCGCGTCCCCCACCAGGCATTGGACGCGATAGACAACGGGGTGAACCAGTTTGAGTCGGAGCACCCACCACGCTACGTGAACAACACGCACCTGTCGGCGCGCGTGGGGCGCTTCAACCCCGACTGGCTCGACGACGCCTCTCCTGCCGCCCAGGACGCTGCCTTTCACAAGGCCATGGCTCTCGCTGGGGAGGAGTTCGTGGAGGTGAGATGCGGTGGAGGAGGGTGGGGCCCGGGAGACTTTTGAGTGGACTCAAAAGTCAACTCAGTACAATGTCACACGGTATTTATTTGTACACGTTGGGCTATTCTCCCTAGTTCGTGGAGGTGAGACGCGGTGGAGGAACGTGGGGCTGGGGAGGGGAGGGGAGGGGAAGTGAAGGGGGAGGGGAGGTTCTGATGTTGTGTCAAGAAGCGAGGAGAGGGGAGTAATGAGAGTGGTAGCAGGGGAGGGAGGGAGAGGGACGAGAGTGGCCCTGGTTTCTGAGAGGTCTGCTTTGTTCCTTCCCCATTCCCCCTCCCTGCCGTTCTCTCCCTGTGAACCAGCCTCTGCCGTGCTCTCCGCGATGACAGCCCACGCTACAGCCCACAACACCCCACCACTCGCCCCCAGGCCGTGATTCTTGAGGCGCCTCAAAGCACTTGTATCTCTCTGCACCACCCCCCTGCCAGGCTGTGACATACATGGCGCGCAGCTGGCTGCCGGATTTGGGACGCCTCAAACTGCCCACCCCCTACACTCGGCCCCGTCCCCACCCCGCTCACCCCCCTGCCCAACCTCCTTCCCCGCCCCCCTGGCAGGCGGTGACGTACACGGCGCGCAGCTGGCTGCCGGCGCGCAGCATCGTGGAGGAGAGCATTGCTGCCGCCGTGGCCGCGCACGGCACTGCTGAGATCATCACCCTCAAGCAATTCTGCCCGGTGAGTGCAAGACCACCCGTGGTGAGTCAGGCAGGCGTGTCTTCGAGGAGAGTGCACGGCTCACAGCATTGCTGCTGTAGTGGCACAAACAGTTCAAACAGATTGGTAGCGCCGAGATGATCACGCCCAAGCAGTTGTGCCCGGTGAGCGCCACACCACCCGTGCTGCCTGCTGCCTGCTGGGTGACATGGGATGATGACGCATAGCACGAGGGGTGGAGGGTTTATGGCGCACTTTGTCCTGGAGGCAGCCGGTGTGAGGAGGGGTGGAGCAGAGTGGCCTGCAAGGCACGGGTGACCTGACACTGACACACCGCTGTGCTGTTGCGCCCTGGACTCATGCCAGGCTGTGCATCCCCATACCTCATGCCTCTCTGTATGGGCTGTGCATCCCCATACCTCATGCCTCTCTGTATGGGCTGTGCATCCCCATACCTCATGCCTCTCTCTGCACCTTCCATCTCTGTGCGTGCCACTACCTGGGTGTCATCGCGAGTCGGGTCATGTGTGCATCATTTCTCGGGGTGCATGTAACCCTGCTCTACGTTTGTGTGTGTCATCTCTATGTGTGTGTCATGTGTGTGTGCAGTGGAAGGGGCATTTGAGTGAGCTGGAAGGGGAGTTGAAGCTCAACCCTCTGCCCAAATACATGCTGTATGAGGTACATGCTGTATGAGGTACATGCTGTATGAGGTACATGCTGTATGAGGTACATGCTCTATGAGGTACATGCTCTATGAGGTACATGCTGTATGAGGTACATGCTCTATGAGGTACATGCTCTATGAGGTACATGCTGTATGAGGTACATGCTCTATGAGGTACATGCTCTATGAGGTACATGCTCTATGAGGTACATGCTCTATGAGGTACATGCTCTATGAGGTATGGTCTGTGAGATACACCCCTCATCCTCCCTTCTCGCCTTCCCTCCGCATTCAACCACTCCCTGGCCGCCCTACAAGTGGAGCTTGCACGCGCAGTAGTGCCACGGCCCTTGCTATCACCCGCGCATTCTCGAGTGTTTCCCTCACTCCCCTCGCTTCCCTCACTCCCCTCGCTTCCCTCACTCCCCTCGCTTCCCTCACTCCCCTCGCTTCCCTCACTCCCCTCGCTTCCCTCAGGCCATTTCAGTGGCGCCATGCAACTTCGAGAGGCGCTGCGCGCTGTCCGCAGACTGGAGGGGATGCGGACATTTTTCTCTCACCCCCTCATTCCCCCACTTGCTTCCCTGCACCTGCCTGGCCCCTGCAGGACGACCGGGCCAAGCAGTGGCGCGTGCAGGCCATTTCAGTGGCGTCAGGCAGCTTTGAGAGCCGCTGCCCGCTCCCCGTCGACTGGAGGGGGCTGCGCGACGATGAGCTGTCTGAGCGGTCGGGCATTCCGCGGGGGGTGTTTGTGCACATGAGTGGGTTCATCGGTGGTAACCACACGTACGAGGGCGCCCTCGCCATGGCCAAGGCTGGTCTGGCCGAAGGTGCTGCTGCTGCTGCTGCCAAGGCTGCTGAGGCCGCTGATGCTGCTGCTGCCACTGTTGCATGATTTGAGGTGGTTTGACGCTTATTGAAGCCGTGGTTGTAACGTACAAGGCAATGCTCGCGAGTGGGATTGTCAGAGGAACCAGGCCACACCACAGCGCACCACACCACACCACACGGACTGTATTGGAAAAGGTGCCTGTCTTTGACTAGGGCTGGCCTTGCTGCTGCCGCCAGGGCCACCGTGCCATGCTAATACTACCGTCATCGCCCGGATAGAAGACATATATGTCTTATCTCGTACACTAGAAAAAATGCTTGGGTTATCTTGTATTTGGGGAGGTTTTGGGTGTCTTATAAGTCTTATAAATGGAAACTTTTTAAACTACTTAGAATTTTCTTTACACATCTTGAAAAGAGTTTCTCGTTATGAGTATGGATGTTGCGAAGGTGCAACTTCGGCAACCATTGTTCGGGAAGCCACGTCATGGAGAATACTTGCAGAGGCAAATTTGGTAGTACCTGAGTCAGCACGTGGAAGAATTCGAGTATCGCAAGGGTAAAAATGTACGCGGTATTTCAAGTTTCACTATAATATATTGCAGTTTCGATTATAAGACATATATGTCTTATCTCGTACACACAAATAGGTGTCTTATAATGAGGCTAGCCTGTTTATAAGAGACACCCGGATTATAGACAACCCCTGTCTACTATTCAACACTGTCTACTATCCGGGCGCTGACGGTAGGGCTTGCTCTCATCTGTTCTCCTCATGTTGCGACCGTAAGTGCTTATTCAACCCATGGACTTTCACTGACAAACAATGATCATTCGTGTGAAGCAAACAGTACATATACCTTGCTAGGAAGGCAAGTTGACACACTCTAGTAAGGTACTTACCGGTATGCATTTTCTCTGCAAGCAAGAATTCAAAAGGGAGCCGTCTGCTATGGTTAAAAGGCAGCCATTGTTGCTCTTGCAGCTGCTGTTGCTTCAGTGCTCTTATGGGTGTTATTCTGTGTTGATGTCATGTGAGACCACATTCTGTCCTGTGCCAAATCTGAGAGCAGTGAGAAGGAACCGCATCTTCACCCGTGCTCAGAACCACCTCACTCCCAAAACTCCTGTGCCGGAGCACAGGCCACCCATCCAGTGCCCTTGTGTTGATGCGTGACCGCGCACAAGACAGGCCCACAGTGGTGCTGCCATGCGCTGTGCCCACCCACCAGTGCGTGCGTGGCGATCCCCTCCTCCAACCACCCAGTGCGCACAGCCCTTGCTGCCTGCCACTGCATTGCGGCACCGCACTGTGTGCTGCTACCACGCTGCCCTCAATCCCTTCACCGCCACACACTCTGTGCTTCTGCTTGCCCATGATGCTCTTGCTGCCGGCGGCACGGGTCACTGCTGTGCTGTGCCATGTGCTTGCTGCCCCGATGCCGCCTCGTGGGGAGGAGGGGAGTGGGCGGAGTCAGCAGCAGCATGTGGCGGCGCAGCAGCACACACTCTCAGCACCTCCTCCGCCTGTTTCCGCATGGGGGAGAGGGGGGGGTTGGGGAGGGGGGGGGGGTTGGGGGTGGGGAAGAGGAGGCAAGGAGGAGGGAGGGCGTCACAATATGGGACAATTCAGCAGCATGAGGCGGCTCAGCCGCACACACTCCCAGCACCTCCTCTGCCTGCTTTCACATGGCGGAGGTGTGGGGACGGAGGTGGGGAAGGGGCGGCAGGGGAGGAGGAAAGAACGGGAGGGAGGGGGCGACAAAGTGGGCGGGAGTAGCAACATGCGGGGGCACAGCAGCACAGCACACACCCACAGCACTTCCTCTGCCTGCGAGAGGGAGATCGGAACAAGGGGGGATAGGGGGGCACCGAAGGGGAGGGGGGAAGACAGTGAAGAGTGAGCAGCGTTGGGAGGAGCAGCATCGGGATGCGCATGCTACAAACACGTGTGTGGGCTCAAGGTGCCACGTGGGCTCAATCTGCCACGTGGGCTCAAGCTGCCACGTGGGCAGTGCTCAACCTCTGCGTCACCACAGCCGCTCGCCGATGAGGCAGCATGGCAGGGCGTGTGGAGCCCTTGGGTGAGCCGGGCAGCATGCTGTCAGCGCCCCGCACTGCTCTCAACAGACACAGCCTGCTCACCGTCTTGTGGAAAGCCATGGGGGAATGGGTGCGGAAGGGGGGTGCAGCAAGAGAGGCAGCAAGGGACTCCTCGGTGCGGCGGGTAACGTCATGGGCGCCAAGGCACATCCACGCGGGGAACCGCGGAGCAGTGCACCCAGGCATGCTGCCACGCTGCATGCGCACCTCATCCCGCTCCTCCGCTCATCCGCTCGTCTGCTCATCCGCTCGTCCGCTCATCGGCTCGTCCGCTCGTCCGCTCCTCCGCTCGTCCGCTCCTCCGCTCGTCCGCTCGTCCGCTCACCCGCTCCTCCGCTCCTCCGCCCGTCCTCTCCTCCGCTCATCCGCTCGTCCACTCGTCCGCTCGTCCCCGCATCGGCTCTCTTATCGCGCTTCCGAGAGTTGCTCTATCTGCGTGAAAGCACGTGCACTCCAGCTCGTCCATCGCACCTGTCGGATGCGCGCGTGGCGCGTCTTGGCGTTGGCGCGGCGCGTGTGGTTCATGGGGTGGCGCTTCCACACCAGCCCGCCCGTCGCTTTGAACACCTGCAGCGCCACGCGCGTTGCCTCGCCCAGCGCCATGATTGGCGGATCAACAGATTCTCCACCAAAAGTCGTCGACGCTTCAAGCGATACGACGAGACGTACTGTTGACAGATCTGGCGCGCTTTGGCACTGGTGATTGTCTTGGTGTGCAGCAGCTGATGTGACTACAACGGGAGGTGAAGAAACGGAGGGGAAGTGGAGGAAGAGTGGCGCTGGGTTAGGGCGTGGAAGTTCTGTTTACAAAATTCCTTCGCAAACATGTCGCACGCGTCGACGAAATCATTTTGTTCGACATTTGGCCGATTTGCACTTTTGTCGAAGCTTGCGTTCACGAAGAGTTGTTTCGTGAAGGTGAAGGGGAATTCGTCGCTGACTGGGTGGCATCACTGGCGTCATCGCTTCCTGGAAAACTCTTCAGGACGTGTCTCAAATGTGCGGGTCCACGTGAGTCCGACGCGGACCCGGCGGACCAGCTCTAGAACCACCCTGTGAACCAGCGACGGACTGGACCGAGATGTGGGACTTTTAACCACGTTCGAATGGCACTACAGCGGTGCCATTGATTTGGTCGCCAGATCAGACCGCGCCTGGTCCGTAACTGTAGCAGCTCACACTTTGCTTGCGAATTATCTCGCCATTCGTGACTGTCGCTCCTGACGGGATGGGGAGTTAACCCCAGAAAAAATAAGGAGGTAACTCGATTTCAACATGACTGATTCGCGTTGTTCGTGCTTCATTTCGCAAACACTGTACATCCCTTGACGCGATGTTTCTTGTAGACCAGCTCGTGTCTGGTCCACGGCTGGTCCGCGAAGTAGGTCCGTCGGACCAGAATTGCGGACCCGACATGCACAAATTAGCAACGGACCAGGTCGGGGCGGACCAGTCACATGAGACACCCTCTCATGAGAGACGCATGCGGCAGTAACGCAGCACTTGTTCGCCAACAGAGTCGCACATTTTGGGTCACTAAAGTTCACTCACAAACGCTCCGCTTCCAGTCACAAATGCTCTCATGCTAGTCATAATTATGTCGACTGGAATTAGTTGACATTATTAGAAGCTTATGGTTCGTCAACCATACAATCATGCCATCTAGCAGCTCCTTTTTCGTCCTCGACATTGGGAAATCCGGCGGCGGCGGCGTGAGCGGCGGCGGCGGCGGTTTCGCGTCGTTTCTGCTCGCGGCGAGACCGTATCTTGTAGCTGCCGCCGTGATTCTCGCTCTCGAGCTACCGTTTGTACTCTTCTTTCAGCCATGGCGAGTCGCCCAGGTCGAGCCGCGAATCGACGCCGCGTTGCAACCCGAAGGCGGTGGCCTTGCCGGGTGTAAGATAAGCGCTGCGCAATGCCGAGCGGAAGAAAACTACTGGGTGCGTACTAAAGGTCCTCAGGTAGTTACATACAAGCGGTATACTGCGCTTTAGAGAAATATGTCACTTTCGTGAGTTAATGCAAAGATTCTAGGTCGCTTAGTGTTCCGTGCACGTTTTTCGCGTGCACGTTTTTCGCGTTTACTGTATAATTGCGCATGGCCCTCGCTTTACCATGCTAGTGAAATTCAACAACTGAATTTCACCCATTTGTATCCCCATAACAGCTGAACGTGCAACGGCGCAAGGACTTCAATGGCGGCCATTTTCAGCCGTTAGATGTAACGGACGGTGCAGATATGCTCATCCGCATCCTCGTGCCCACGTACCAGTGCCCCGGGGAGGAGCGGCTGGGCGTGTGGGGTGATGGTGGCAAGGTGAGAGAGACGGTGGGGCAATGGGGGTCGGGTGAGGATGGGTTGGGGGGTAATGATGGGTTGGGGTGTAAGGATGGCGATATGTGGTGGGGCAGTGGGAGGATGAGGAAAGGTGGTTTGGCAGTGGGGATGGGTAAGAATGGGGTGAGGATAAGGATGAGGGAAGGTGGTGGGGCAGTGGAGATGGTGTATTTTTTTTCTGATTCTACTCAAAGTGACCACGTTGCAAGATGAGAAACACGGTGAGGCAATGGGTTGGATGGGGTAAAGAAGGGGAGGGGGGAGGGGAGGGGAGGTAAGGATGGAGTGAGGAAGGTTTGAGATGGAATGTCTCCAGTGAGGGGTGAACCCCCCATGTTCTATCCTTGTGTGTGTACGGTGACGCACCTAGCAGTTTCCATGGAAAAAAGATTCTGGGTATGTGGAGGCGACGGCGGTGGCAAGGCAAGGCAAGGCGAGTGTGACTGTATGAGATGAGAAGAGATTGAAAACCTGAATTCAATGTTAAGTGGTGCTGATTCTCCTCACGCGCTTCTAAACACCCACGAAAGCACTCACACATTTTAGTCCCCTCACCTCACCCCCTGCCCCAACCCCACCCTCACCACGCCCACCCTCTCTCCTCCACTCATCCACCACCACAGACATGCATGCTCCGTTGCAATCTTACATGCTCGGCTCCTTACAATCTTCCTGATGCCCCCCACACCTTCCCCCCTCCTCCTCCGTTTCCCCCTTCCTCCCCCACCACCAGTGGACATGCATGCTGCCTTCCACCATTCAACCCAAGCCCATCGTGTACAGGTCTGTACTGTCGTATTTGTTACCCATATGTTGTTAGCATTAGTATGTTATTCGCCATCAATACTGCGACCAATCTGCTCTTATTAGTGTCCCACCCGTATGTTGTTTTTGGTGTACATACCATTGAGCCACCAGCAATGCCTCGCAAGTACGATATTAAACAGAAGCTTTTCATCCGCACCACCAACACCATCAACCCTCTGTCTTGCCACGGCTGACCCTCCACACCGACCTCAGTCCTCACCTTCCACCCGTTCATCTTCTCATCATATGGCCCCTCCTCTCACTCCGCCCCTCATATCCCCTCCCCGTGCAGCATCGGCAGCAACGAGTCGTTTTCCTTTGAGAGTGAGATAAGCGCGGAGCTGCACATCCGCACGGACACCTTCGACCCCTTCATCCCCCCCGAGGCTCAGGCGCGCATGAAGGCCCTCCCCTTCCTGCGCTTCCACAGCATTGGCGTTGCCAGCGCTGCGGATATCAACGAATACAAGAAGTGGTACCCCAAGGTGCGATGCGGTACCCCAAGGTGCGATGCGGTACCCTATGGTACGATGTGGAACCCCAAGGTGCAATGCGTTACCCCAACGTGCGACGCGGTACCCCAAGGTGCGATGTGGCAACCCAAGGTGCGATGTGGTTCCCCAAGGTGCGATGCGGTAGCCCAACGTGCGATGCGGTACCCCAAGGTGCGATGTGGTTCCCCAAGGTGCGATGTGGCACCCCAAGGTGCGATGTGGCACCCCAAGGTGCGATGTGGTTTCCCAAGGTGCGATCTGGCACCCCAAGGTGCAATGCGGTACCCCAAGGTGCGACGCGGTACCCCAACGTGCAATGTGGCAACCCAAGGTGCAATGTGGTTCCCCAAGGTGCAATGTGGTTCCCCAAGGTGCAATGTGGTTCCCCAAGGTGCAATGTGGTTCCCCAAGGTGCGATGTGGCACCCCAAGGTGCGATGTGGCACCCCAAGGTGCGATGTGGCACCCCAAGGTGCGATGTGGCACCCCAAGGTGCGATGTGGCACCCCAAGGTGCGATGTGGCACCCCAAGGTGCAATGTGGCACCCCAAGGTTTACCCCAAGAAGGTTGAGTTGAGACATTTCAGGACACGCTTCTGCCCCCTTCTGCATTCTGGGCCCCACCTCAATGGTGCCACCCCCCATGCTGCCATCCCCCATGCCGCCATCCCCCATGCTGCCACCCCCCATGCTGCCACCCCCCATGCCGCCATCCCCCATGCTGCCACCCCCCATGCTGCCACCCCCCATGCTGCCAACCCCCATGCTGCCATCCCCCATGCTGCCACCCCCCATGCCGCCATCCCCCATGCTGCCACCCCCCATGCTGCCACCCCCCATGCCGCCATCCCCCATGCTGCCATCCCCCATGCTGCCACCCCCCATGCCGCCATCCCCCATGCTGCCACCCCCCCTGCTGCCATCCCCCATGCTGCCACCCCCCATGCTGCCACCCCCCATGCTGCCATCCCCCATGCTGCCACCCCCCATGCTGCCACCCCCCATGCTGCCACCACTCCCCCTTGTGGTGATCCGCTCTTCCCGGCCCCACAGCTCACTTTTTCAGATGATGCGGTGGAGCGAGAGAGAACTTGGGGATAGGGGGGGGGGGGGCGGGTCTCCGAATATCTCACTTACCTTTTTCTGCTCCCCCTTTGCTCCCCGTGCCCCCCCTTGCTTCCCCTGCTCCTTGTGCTCCCCTCTGCCCCATGTTCCCACGACCCACTAGTGCAGAAGCAGTTCATGCGGTTAAACGAGATCATGAAGCGGCTGGGGCACTCGTATATCGACGTGCTGAAGGTGGACTGCGAGGGGTGCGAGGAGCACTTCATTCACGAGCTGGTGAGGGCCAACCACAACAAGATGGGCGCGCTCACCATCCATGGGGGCAGGCTGCCGTTCGGACAGATGCTGTGTGAATTCCACAGGTGGGGAGCTGTGCGGTTAGAGTGGTTCGTGCATGCGTGGAGTCGAGTACATGTGGGAGCAGTGGTTAGATGGCACGCAGGCATGGACACATGCGAACATGCACACACACACAGACAGGCACATAAAAGGTTTATGCTTATGCACAAAGACGCACACACACAGATTCTCTCTGTACCACACAAATTTTCAGACAAACATCACACACTCATGTGCGCACCCATACACAGCCATGCCCTTGTGACCCCTTCCACAAGATCATTCTTAGCATTCCCATCCATGCCCCATGCAGGACGGGCATGTCTAATTTCCCCTTCTCGCACACACCTCCCCACCTCGTACACACCCCATTCTCCCTGTCTACAATCTTCAACCTATCAATTTCCCATCCACTCCCCATGCAGGACCAATGTTCCCAACAGCACTTCCTCTCGCACTCGTCTTACGTTCCACATCAAGCCCAACCCCTAAACTCCCCTCTACTCTTGCAGCCAGCAAACAGTCTCCGTTTTCTCCCCGTGTGCATGACAGAACGGACATGCCGAACCGCACGCTGCCACTGGTGTACGGAATGGAGAGCCTGGGGTACCGCATGTTCCACGTGGAGCCCAACCCGCAGTGCCTGCACTGCCAGGAGATCGCCTTCATCCACGAAACCCTCGTCAAGCCCTCCCCCACCGCTGACTGCCGGCCTTTCCTGCAGCAGAGCAGCAACGGGCTTGCGCAGTTGCTAGATGCCGGAGGAGACAAGGGGCAAGCTGCTGCAGGCAGCAAGCGTGAGGAAGGGGCTGCTGTTGACAGCTCGCTCGATTCGCCGTAGAAGCCTAGTGAAGCCGCCTTTGACCATGGCTGCACTTCCTGCCGCCTCGTGTGCCGTTTTCATGCAAGTTGCGTGCGTTGTAATGGGGAGTTCGTGAAAGCACCTACCGGCATGCATTAAATGAGGGGTCAAGCTGGAAAAGGGCATGCTGAAATATTTTATATGCTTGTATTGTATCGGGTGGTATTCTTTTTGAAGTACCGTATTCTTCTTTGTCAGTGATTTTTGTGTGTTTTTTTCTAATCAAGTCAAACAATAAATATGTATTTTTTATGGCCTTGGTACTGTATGGCTCCGGATATAAGCGGAGGCCTATGTTACCGTAAGCGCATGCGCTTGTATCTGGAGCAATGTGCTTATGGCCGATCCTCATTCATAAGCGCATCCCTGTCAGACGTTATAGTTTAAGTGATGTGTGTCATATGGGGTACAATAGTTAGGGTTAGGTTTATGTACCCCAACCAACCTTAGTAACACATTCTTCTGTTCTTGACAATCCCGTTTGAAATCGTTACTTATTATAACCACACCCTTTTTTTAATTTGTTTGATTTTGACATTACTAAAAAGCTTCTCCAGGGCTATACCTCCTACACGTTGGAAACATGTAATTTAAGGCTTCCTATGTGTCGTAACATTGAACCATAAACGAGGCAAGCTACAGCGAAGCAGTGGCGAGTCAACCGAGGAGGTTGAATGAAAAGTAGCGGTCAGAGGTTACGCGAGGTCAGGGACCTTTGACTCGACAAATACAGCGCGACAGCAAGGACAAACAACTGACTCGATATTCAGCAGTTGCCCGAGTCGTCACTGTATCGAAGCGCAACCGCAACAATAAAACAGTTATATCATCCTTTCTTATTCCTTGTAATCTTATAAAAGCTTGTATTACTTCCTTATAATTAATCTATCTTGCGCAAGGTGGTTCAACAACTTATCATTAAACGCTTCCGCAATACAACATTCCTGTCAGAATCTTAGCCTTGAAAGATCCTAAGGGCTTTTCTCAGCCCAACATGGTATGAGAGCAGACAAGGCAAGATTCAACTTTGTTTAAACTCCTACAACATCAGAAGAGATGGCAACACAGAAGGAGAGAAGCTCCTCTAACGGCTCTCCCGGCACTACCCCTACTCCACCTCAAGCCTCTGGCCTACAGACAGAGGGAGGCACGGCGACAAGACCAGCTGTTGAGTCCACTGAGACTCCCGCAAATCAAACGACCAACTTCGACCCAAACATGATGGAGAAGTTCTTCTCCTTCATGTCCTTCTACGAACAGCACCAGCAAGCAGCACCCGCACAGTCAAACAACAGCGACAACAACAACGGCGTTACTCCAATGAGTCTTGACGGCTCATCCTACGCGCGCGGAAACCAGCAGCAACCTACCTTTGCTCCGTACAAGCCTCAACGTGGTTCCATCAGCCTCATGCCGCACCAACAGCCTCCACCTGGACAGGAGAAGACACTGGATGCACTTCAAGTTCAATCACAGTCCGCACACGTCCTAAAACTGCAGACATCGACACCCTTCGACGGAAAGGACTTTTATACCTGGTCCTTCAAATTGGGAAATGATGGAAGGCGCGCAGATCCTCGGATTCTTCGACGGATCCCTGCCATATCCAACACACGGGACGCAGTACGACAAACAACCGTATACGTATCAGTCGCTGATGGCGTATACGATTCTCCTACGCAACATCACGCCGAACGAGCAACAGAACATTCGGTCTTATCGTGGATACGGCAACTCCGCCGAGCTCGCGTACAACCACCTGAAGAACCTGTATCAAGCAACAAACAGCGTCAATCAGAGTCGTCTCATGGCACAGCTGACAACAGTGGAAATGAAACCCGGCGAAAAGGGAATGGCGTATATCAGCCGTTGTCGCGGACTGCGCGTCAGACTCCTTCGATGCGGAGGATCGATATCCGAAGAAGCCTTCGTGACAGTTGTCATCTCCGGCCTCGGTCCTCACTTGCGTTCCACTCGAGCTATCCTCCGAGCTCACGGAAAGATCTCCGAAGCGACACTCTGCGCCGAAATTCACGCTGAACAACAGGATATGGACCTGCACGAAGAGCGTCACAAGAAAAGAGCGTCAGCACCAGAGTTCGCGTTTCACACTCAACGACGCTACAACAACAACAATAATCGACAGAACAAACAGTTCAACAGTACGTACCGCCATTCTGCCATCTCTGCAAGACGTCAGGACACCCTCGTACACACTGCCCGAGTCAGCAGCAGTCAGCACCGCCGCAACGTCAACTTCGGCCCTCAAGTATTCAAGTCACTTCTACACAAGCGCATCCCACCAGTCAAGTACAGTCCTCAACAACATCAACGACAAAACCTGCACAAGGCGCAAGAAACATCGTGAGCTGCATGGCAAGAATAACGGACTCCTGCATCACCAAATCGCCACCACACCACTCACCAGAAGAACTACTCGACGAGAGTACTCTGCGCCACGAATCACTGGAGCCCGACCCGACGTACGCAGCCATCACCCAGAGCGAGCCGTCCGGGAAAGACATCTGGTTCTTGGACAGCTGCTGCGGACAACACATGTGCTCCTCGGGTCGCTTCGTTCAACGGGAACACCAACTGCAGCGCGAAGTCATCATCACCGTCGCCAACAACCAGAACCTGTGCACACGACGACAAGGGATAGTTCAGCTTCAGTCATGAGAGACTAACGTTATTATGCAAATGTCGAAAGTTTTAATTGCAGAAGGACTCGGCTGCAACTTACTGAGTGTCAGTCAACTCATGGCTAAGGGAATCCATCTTGAAGCAGACAGCACCACCCATGAGTTCAAGCTGTACAATGGAAAGGCGGACTAAAGAGGCAGACCGTACATCGGAAAGGCTATATTGAAGAATAATGTCTTCGTCCTCGACTTTGTTCCAGATCAAGGCACCGCCGACAGTGACGGAATCGTCAACTTCACTTCCTGGACACACCCACCAGATCTCGACCCCGACTTCAGTCCCGGCGGCTTCTGGTACTCGAACACTATACCTGAAACAAAACGAACGAGAGCATTAGCAACAATCCAGACAACATCGGCAGCAGCACTAACACCATCGGCAGTAGCAGAGTCAACATCGGCAGTAGCAGAGACAACATCGGCAGTAGCAGAGACAACAACGGCAGCAGCAGAGATAACATCGGCAGCAGCAGAGACAACACAGGCTCCAATCGCTGGTCCTTCAATAGCACCGGCCTTCATCAATGACACGCCACCGACTCCTGCGCAACAGCTGACTCCCACTCCACGAGAAGTCAACAGAAGCGCAAACTTCACCGCAGGTTTCTATTCCAACTCCGACTTGTACAGACGTTCACCCGGACATCGCGCTGGCGAAGACATCTGGCATGCAAGGATGGGACACCCGAGCAACACAACGTTGAACAACACGATAAGAGCAGGTGTTCTTGATAAAGACTGACTGCTTCTACACGACGGCAGAGAACTTCAACGAGTCTGCGGAACGTGTTTTACCTCCCCTGAAGCAGACTAACCACATCAGCCGTTCGTCTCTCACCACAACCCGAGCGCACCAGCCTACGCACCACTGGAGAAAGTGTACAGCGACATACTGTACAACCGTGAACCCGGACAAGAAGCTTATAACTACGTCATCACGTTCATCGACGCCGCCACACGATACGTCTGGCATCTCAACCTTCCAAGCCGTGACATGGCCTTCGAAGCTTTCGTCGCCTGGCTTCCAGTAGCAGAACGAGAATCAGGAGTGAAGCTGAAAAGCTTCCAGTCAGACGGGGGAGGGGAATATCAGTCACAGAGGTTCAAGGTCTACCTGGCAGAAAGAGGCATCAAACGGCTCATCTCCCTTCCCTACGCCCATCAACAGCAAGGCGTGGTAGAACGGATGAACAGGACTCTCCAGAACACCATGCGCAAGTTGCTACGTGGCATATGGCTACCCAACCACCAGTGGCCCGAAGCAATGGACCATGCCGTGATGCTGCACAACTTGCTCTCGTCATCATCGCTCCCGAACAACGCATCACCGCATCTGCCGTGGACAGGAAAAATGGGCAGCACAAAAATGTTGCGAGTGTTCGGCTGCATGGTACAGTACCGACCCCCAACTGCACGAGCCGGCCGATTCTCTCAACGCGCACAGTGGGGAGTACACCTGGGCATCGAAACACATTACAACGCGTGGAAGAATTTTGACGTCCACTCGAAGGAAACAGTAGCAGCACGTGACGTGATCTTCTACGAACGACTCACCCTCCCGACATACCTTGCCAACCTGGAAGAAGAACGAGACCCCACATGCGGATTCCATGGTGATCGAGCCTTCTCTTCGGCAGCAGATGAAGCTGACTGGAACGAGCAGAACGTGGACGGAGCTTCGGAGGAAGCCGGACCTCTTCCGTACTGCTCAGTGGACATTCCCATGGACGACGACAACCCTCGCGAAAGCATCAACGCCGAAACATATTATCACTTCGCCGACACCGGTTACGTTACACCCGCAAGAGTCAACACCGACGAAGCAGAATGCGAAGGACCCAGTTTCACACCTGACCCAAAAGCAGGAGATGAAGCAGCTTATCCCGAGGACGCAAATCTCCCCCGCTACACACAGAGTGGGCTGCAGGTACTGGGACTCGTCACCACCGTCCACGGAGCAGCGCCACCTAAGGTGCCTGCCACAGTTCAGCATGCTCTGGGGGGGGAGCACAGGGAAAAATGGCGCGAAGCCATGGACAAGGAATTAAAGTCACTAGAAGAACGCAACACCTGGAAGGTCGTACCCATCGGAGTGGCACGCAACAAGACGATACTCACCGGGAAGTGGGTTTTCCGCGTGAAAACAAAGGCACATCGACAAGTTTAAAGCACACTGGGTCGTACGCGGCTTCGACCAAGAGCACGGACGAGACTTCACCGAAACATTCGCGCCGGTCAGCCGACACACCTCACTGCGGATTCTCCTCGCGATAGCTG